TACCACCAACGTCAAGTGGCGGGGCTCGAACCTCGGACCGCAGGGTCCAAAGCACAGACTAAACCACTGCGCCACTACCACCATGTTTGGGACTCGTCAGCAGTGCGTACTTCTTGTATCCCTATCAGAAATTGAATCTCGGGCCTTCAGGTTGGGACTTCAAACCCTTAGTTCTGAGCTACACGGTTGACGGCCATTACCTTGTGCGAATGGCTCAATCAATTTATATGGTAGATGTTTGGATTAACCCATTCGGTTTTTTACAGGCACCAGGTACTGTTACTGGCCTTGGGTGTGGGGAACTAACGATATCCCCAGGAGTGAAACCGACTCCCAAGACCATCAACAGTTCCTGGTGCCCGTGAAAAACCGAATGGGCTACTCCAAACATTCACCATCTAAACCAATAAGTAAATTATACGCTTCGATCATTTGTACAGAGAAATTCATCTACTCGCACGCTCTGGGGCATGAAAAAGTAGTGTGCCAGAAGAGTGCTTTTAAAAACTTGATGATGATCGGTTCCAATTTTGGGTGCAACGTTCAGGACAAACCGGGAGAAGCATATTTCGCTTGTACAATTGATAAAATATTCGAGCTGGTCCCTGGGATTATCCAGTCCGCTTTTCGTTGTGTTCGGTCTAGACGTACGAATGACACGAGCGACTCTTGCTTAACCACTAACGATAACGCGGAGAGAGAACACAGGTTGCGACAACAGTCGACAACAGTGTTTATTCCTTTTGATCAGATATTGATAGGCAAATAGAACAAGTCACGCATACCAGAACGGCGCGGTGAGGCACTAATCAGATTGCGTCCTTGACATATCGATTGATCGATTGTACAAACATTGACTGACACGTTCTGGGACCATCCAATCAGGTTCAGCCTGTCTGGAACGTTGCGAGCGTGCGTGTGGCCTGACTCAGAAGCGTGCGCGATCGGACGGGTTGTTTGAGCTCTGTCTTTTCTCCTTTTCCCCTATTCATCAGCCCGGATATGCATGATAACAATGCTGGCATTAGACCTGATCAAAATAAACTAAACTAAGTATCCCTGATTGTCAATAAAATGCCTTTCGTAGGCATATTAGCTCGTTATACACACAATGGAGGTAGCCAGGAGGATACAGGATATAATACGCCAAAGGAGTTATATAACAAGTGGCATATTTGAACGAGGACAACAACAACAACATAAAAACAATACAAGACCTACCATAACAGGAGGATGTAACACTGCTCCGGCACTGACAATGATGGTGATTTGCTGAATTCACTGTCGCTGAACGCCACCGTGTTCAGTAGTGTGTCGTCTTCGAGTAAAACAAGCTGTAATACGGTGATCGAAACAGTACCATCAGGATTGCTTACTTTTGGAAGTGCTTTTGATTCGGTCACAGCAGAGGAAGGGATCTCGTGTGACCGATGAATTTGAATGAGCAAATTAGCCACATCGGTTTGCTGAAATCGTGTACGTTTCCCCAGGGCACCTATTGTTTGAGTTAAACGGATGCGAACCGGGGCAACTACTGACCTGTAAAGTTTATCGCAATTTTCAAGTGTCCCGAACACCGAGAGGCCAATATTTCAGCAGCATCGTATCGGTAATAGAACACACTCAAATAAGAGGCCAGTAAATAGTACACCGTTTGATCGTTATGGCCTACTGTGCCGCTCACGGACAGTTCTTCTTCACCTGATAACAACTCGAGAGTTTAAAATTGAAAGTTAACGAGAATTACATTTCTCCAACACTTCGACGAACTCGCCATCCAATTGGGCAGAACGCTCCTGACCCAGTAGGTACTGATGCAAGTATATACATTTGAGAAGTAACACTAAATAGGGGAAAACCTGGATAGCGGACAACTTGTTAACATGCCCAAAACGGATTACCATAGTCCGTGAAACCTCGGACATTCTCGAAGCAAGGCGCTTGGAAAGCCAAAACAGGCCCAATGCTTTCGCATATTTGAACGGTCGTTCACCCTCACAGCTCAGCGCCGAGAGTGCTTGTTCATCCAAACATTGGTCATATTCCAGATTATCGCAATTGCCACCAAGAAAATTAACCGAGATGAAATGGGTCAATATTTGATCGATGAATGAGTAAGCCGATAGAGACCTGTGAAATCCGTCTATATAAAAGATTGTTAGAAAACAAACTGACCGTTCCAGAAGACCGTCCAAAATTTCATCATCTGTGGCTTTCAGAGTAATAGAAGAGAGCACACATTGACTTTCTGATACTGACTGTTGATGCATAGTGACCTGATAGCGAAAAATACGTTTTATGATGTAATAGTAATACCTCGGAATTTTCAAGAACGAATAAATATGTATATATTGACAGATAAAAAGAAAATATAACCATGAGTTGTAAAGAACAGAACAACTAGCAACCGATGCCAGATTTGGAGTCTAACCAATTTTTGGTACAGTATACTATTTCGGGTTTTAACATGACTGGAATTGCAAGCACGTCAAGTCGCATTCGCGCCAGTGACTTTGGTTTGTAGAAAAGGAACTGACTGATAAATGCTAAAGACGACATCCGGACATGCACTAGCTGGCTACCGTTATGGCACTTTTTCCGCTTAGAAAACTTGCTCAGTATGAGACGGAAAATTTGGCTTGGTGCGTTCTGCGAGTGACCGCCGCCTTAACACCGGACACCGCGGCAAGTGTGGATGGGTAGACTAGCCATTTTTTTATTACACGAAGGGGAATACAATGAAAAGGGTGAACCGCATGATCCGAAGATATCCTGTACGTGGGAAGGGAAGGAGAATATTCAAGCTAGAACCAGCTCGTTGATTCTGCGGTTAAAGATTTGAATGCTATACGTTGAAAGGAAGACTGAAAGAAGGAGAGTGTTTTACCGTCATGCTGTTCTTGGGGAAAAAGATGATCAAATGTTAGAAATGCCACATCTGGCTAGCCGCTTTTGCATAGGATCTACGTGGAAGAACAAGTGAGAGATGGACTGAACCGGAAGGTTCACAAGAGCAAAATCCAAATTAGTTTCGATAGAATAAGGATAGAGATGCGACTGCCCGACGGTGAGCTGGTGACTGCAAGTTACGTGTTAAGCACGGATCATGAATGAGACGAATGGCTTTGCATTGAACCCGATCAAGAAGAGAGAGGTGGGCGAAGCTCCACCCCACACCTGACTGCAGTATTCAAGTGAAGGGCGAATCTGAACATTTTATAAATCAAGAGTTCAGTTCAGTTCGGTTTAAACGACCATTAAGCATTTCAGTGCGACGCTTCGGTTGCTGTCTTTTGGCTGCCCATTTGGATGAACATGAGGAGAAAGACAGGAAAGGTTGAAAGTAGGACCGAAGAGAAAATTTAGGATATCATAGCACTATTTTGCAGCGAAATCGACAAGATGCACGAGCGTCACCGTTTACGACACTCAGCCATATCACTCAATGTCTCTAACCATCGGGTATGGTCATCCCGAGGTCCCCAGCCGAGAAGCCTAACGGGATCTATGTGACCCAGTCTCCTGATTAAGGCTTTCATACCCTCACTCCAGGTCTTAGCTTGACCACTCGGCTTTATTCCATCCACTACCTGCCTCGGCGAACATCACT